CCGCTCCAAGGCTCGGCCTCGCTCTCCGCGGTGGAACCTTGGTTTAAACCCGCGGAGAGAAGGCGCGAGCGGGAAGCAAGCGGGCCCTGCCCGCGCCGCGCCGCGCAGGGAGGAGCAGGGGCGGGAGAGCTACCGCCGGGCGACCGCGCACTGACCTTCACTCTCCCGCCGGAGTCAGGCCCAAATTCGGCCATTCTCTTGAACATATTGTCCCACGGAAGAAGCCGCCGCCGCCAGGGAAAGAGACGGGGGCCGGCGGAGTCGCCGCTCCCCTCGGAGGCCCCGCTCCTCCCGCGTAGGCCCAGGCGGAAGGTTTCCGGCCGAGGGAGGGCGAGTCACCGGGGCTGGCGGCGTCGAGCAACCGCCAACTCCTTCAGGTAGGCACCGTCGCCGAAGGCCATTCAGGTCCGCGCGGGTGGAGAACGCCTCTGGAGGGGCGACGGCAACGCGGTGCGCAGGCGCGAGGGGTCCGCGCGCTCGCCGCGGACACTGCGCACGCGCATGGCCGCTGCCTTACCGCTCTCAGAGGACTGGTCTAGGGGTTCCGGAGAGAACAAGGAAAATGGAAGGTAGGAAATTATTATTGGATGATTTCAGAAAGTTTCCCGGAACTTAAGGGTATGAGCTTCCACACTGAAAGATCCTACCAAGCACCCATCACAAGGATGAAAACAGATCCATGCCAAGGCATATCATTGCGAACTTTCAGAACATCGGGGTAAAGAGAAAATCCCACACACTTGCAGATTGTAAAAACGAATCAGAATGACTGCAGATTGCTCACTAGCAACATTGGAATCTAGGGAACAATAAAGTACTGCTTCAAAATTCTGAGGGAAAATTACTTCCAATTTAGTTTTCAATATCCAGCCAACTCTAAACCAAGTGTGTGAATAGAATGAAGACCGTTTCAGACATGCTAAATCTGAAAACAAAAAAGTACCTCTCATGCGCTCTTTCTCAGGAAGATCCTAGAGATGCGATCCAAAATGAGGGAATAAGCCAAGATGGAGGAAATTATGAAATACAGAAAACAATAAATATCAAACATAGAAAATAATAGAATCCCAAGATGGTGCTGAAAGAACTCAGGATGTCAGCTACATACAGGCACAGACAGCAACCCGTCCAGATAAGATTCGGTAAGAAATCTCTGGGCGATACTGCTGTAGAAGAATGGAATTGAGAAAATGCCAGCTGCGTCTGAAACCTTGAGAGGAGATTTAAATATTAGACCTAGATTTGGGGAGTTGAACTAATGACAGATGCGTAGGATGCTAAATAGATTTAAGAATCATGCAAGGTATTAGCTCTAGGGAAAACAAAGTCTTGTACAAGAAAAGAAAGTAATTGTATTTATGGCTACGTAAACACTGAATATTGATGTAACCAAATATATATATGATTACGTTTGGAAGGATGAGCTTAGGAGAAAGGTCCCATGTGTGATGGAAATAGGAGAGGAGGAAAAAAAAAAGAAAGCAGGGGAGGAGAAAATAGAGCCTAATCTTTAACTTCTATGGTGGGAAATCGATATCCTAAAAT